GGAGGGCCCTGATCTTCAGGTTTCTCTCTCCTCTGAGGGCTTCAGCCAAAACATCCAGGTAGACAACACAAATCGGCTCCTGCTACAGACGGTGGAGCTGGCAGCCATTCCTGGAGATTACACTGTGCGTGTGCAAGGCCATGGGTGCCTCTTCCTGCAGGTAAGCCCAGCCAGGGAAGCAAGATCTGCCTGGAGAAAAGCCCTGCAAAGCCAGGGAACTTCTCACTCTGCTGTTTAGCTAGGACTGAAAACAGACTTTAGTGACTTATAGAAACCTAGGGCCTCAGGGCTGGCAGGAATAGCTGGGATTCGATGGGAAAGGAACAGCAGTTTCCCATATGAAGTTTTGATTGTCTTTACCTAGTCAGAGCTATACCTCTCTTCTAAGGACCCATGTGACAACCACCAGGAGCAGTGCAGTAGCACAACCTCTGCTTCCACCACATCATTTTCTCTTATGCCAGTGCAAGACAGCAAATAGCAGCCAAACCCTAGGCAAGGATATTTGGCAGCAAAAAGCTGCTATTCTCTGCCAACCAGCTTCTTTCTGTCTCTCCTGATAGGCCGTTCTGAGGTACCACATCCCTCCACAGAGAAGCGACCTCACCTTTGCTGTGTCTGTGCAGACAGAGTGCACCTTGCCCAACGCCACCCAGTTTCCTGTCACTGTCCATGCTCGGTAGGAGACACTCAGCTTCCCTCTTCTTCCCCTGTGCTGAGAGGCTTCTGGCCTGCATCAGTCTCTAGATGGCTGGGATTCCCCTTCCCTCATGAAGTCCGAGTGCTTAGACTTCTCTGTTCCTTTAACTATGCTCTCCTCAGCTGGGTGGAAGGTACTAGGCCCTAGAGGGATGGTTTAGGCTGTAGTCCTATCTGTTCATTGCATCAGTCATCACAATTTCTCCCAAGGCCTATGGCTTTCACCTCTCTATACAATGAAGTCTCAAAACACCGGTGTTGTGAAGGCCTTGTGGGACTGATTGCTGACCTCATCCCAAAGTCTTCCCTTCTCTGCTCCTGGCTCGTTGTCACACTACCCTCCTCTGCTTTACCTCTGCCTGATTTGGGCCAGAACTGCCAACGTGACAGGAGGAGGATAGAGTATTCTCAGTCCTACCGAGAGAAGGAAACGCCAGAAACCTTCCAAGGAATTCTTTCTCCTTGGCTCAGCTCAGTTGAGAAAGAGAGATCAGAGGAAGCACAAGAATTTATTACAGTGCAGGAACAGGTATGCTTACAGGAGGAGCACTGGAAGGAAAGGCAGATCCCTCCACTTGAGTATCATAGATGGGCTGGAGTATCTGTGGAGATCGTGGCTCAGAAAGTAACATTAGTGCTGTTCCCTGGGTTCCTGCTGCAGCTATGTAGGAAACCGTGTGTCCACCAACATGGTCCTGATCCAAGTGGAGCTGCTGTCTGGATACAGCCCCATAGCAGGTTCACTGAAAGAGGTGAGACTGAGAGTTTGTGTCCAGCTGGGGTGGGAATGGTGACAGATATCCATGATGCAGGATTGTAAGCAATCATGCAGGAA